TGCCGTTCCGGGCATGGATCCTCTGATAGAAGTAAGTGGCGAAAAATTTGGCACGGAACTGACTGGCTACAAAATCGCTCGGCTGGACGCGTTTGCCAGCCAGTTGCTGCATCTTCGCGTGAACGGACTGCAGTCGATGTTAACCGCCGCTTGCCTGCCGTCGGACGGCGAACGCTATTTTGAGGGCCACGTTTCTTGTCCTCCACAGATCGATCCGGTAAACATCGTGCATGCACACGCAATTGCACGCATTTCAGTCGTTTACTATCTCAGTGGGTCGTTTTTCAGTGCAGCGTCAACGCTAGCGTCCGATTCGTTTATTATGGCAGTGAGCAAAACACGACTGAGCGAAGGTATCGACGATGCCATGTTCTGCGACTGAACATTGTAATTGTTCCGGCCGTCCTGTTGCTGAACTGGCACGTTTTGCCTGGTGAAAGGTAAACCTGCCTGTTAACCATTTACAGCATTTATTGTAGTCACTATCGTCACTGTCACCACTCTTGTCATTTTCATCATTTCCGTTATTGTCTTCGTCGTCACTATGTTGTTCTATGCCTTCGTAGGTTTTATTCATCAGAACTACATCTGCTCCTGTCGATACATGAAAGAAATCTCGTTCTAAGCGAAGTGTTGCATAAAACGTCTGTACGTTGGCCATTCAGCTTAAGAACTGAAGTGGTTAACACGCGGGACTTTTTTTCTACTAAAAATCGATCATATTTCTGTATTTTAATTGTAAGCAGTTATTAGTAGACAGTGTCGATTCTTTAGTCTTGATGATGTCACTTTAGTCTAAACGCTGCCTAAAAATATCAGACGCCTCTCGATGCCAGGAGCGATTTTGTGATCGTAACGTTTGCACGTTCATATGCGCCCTGTTATAATATAGTTCGTTGGCATTGATTTATGTCCTTATAATGTTCCATTTGTTCTTGTATCCAAAGAAGCGAAAGTTCATAAAATGGAAGAACGCTTAACGTTTCTGTTCTTCTCATTTCTAAGCGTTTATTATATCTTTGTAAACAGAACTGCTTTAAAATGTATTGGACCACTTCCCAATCTCGGCTGCCAAGTTAACTGATAGATTTACAGTTCACGTTGAACCTTCACGGCAATTGAAGCGACATAGGAGTGTGCACTCCACTTTGTTCGCCATATCAATAGGTCCCTACTTTTGTTGTTGCCTTCTCCACTTTCGTCGTTGGATCATTATGATCTGTGCATGTTGTTACAGCAAGTTAGTCGTGATGCGTTTGCTGCTGCCAGATTTTCAGCGAAATGTAAATGTTGTATTGTATTGTCAAGGTTTGGATGAGTTAGCTTGCTTAAGACATCTGACGATAGTCAACAGAAGTAACCACGCGAGAGGGCGCAACGCCCGATTAAGCTTTGCGTATTTTTAAGGTGAAGACGCATACCACACTGTTCAGAAGCCGATCAAATCCACGGTGGCTTCTCAAACAAGGCTCGGTTCACTCCAAATTAGAGTGTTGATAGCGCATTTTGAAACCTTGTTTCCAATTTTGGTGCCTTTTTCCTTTGAACGTTACCATCTTCATTTAATAAGTGTCGTTTCTTCACGTGTAAACTGTTTTCAGCACTCTCACTCGCTACATCGCAATGGATGTGCTGAACACAACCGGTTCGGAAGTGAAACTTGAATTTTTGGAAACCAAGAATGTTCTCATTCAACCGAGAGACGTCTGCCGGTATAACTTGTTATAATTCAGACTGGTTTTTCTGTTGGTGAAGCTATTACACCAATAGCTAAGCGAATGTACTTAAAGTTATAATTTAATTAACGGTCTACCACGTTTTGGAGCACGTTGTTTGGGCGGAGACCGGTGGTTGCTTTCAACGCTCGGTGCTACGGTCGTCGCTTTGAATCGGTATAACTGGACGGTGGCCATCTGACTCACCTCTATGATTCGGTCCATCGTTTCATTTGCCAATGGAAAGCTCTGCTTAAGCGGGGTATGATGCTCCGTTTTCCGGAATGAATTTTTGATTACATTTGCATTGTTGTGAATGAAGAGATCATTAAGTCAGCGCCTGGTACTGTGGTCGCGAGTTTGAATGTATATCGTTGCCAAATGGTCATCTGTATCAATTATTTTACTTGACCCTTCATATACTTATCAGTAGAAAACCTGCGAATAATGTGTGATGCAACAGTCAGAACTTGTGAATTTCGAAGATTCCATTTTATTTTGCATTCGTCGTGGTGGCAGTGTATGGTCAGCAAGTCAGTCGGAAATTATTGGGCCTAAAGTTAGAATCTCTGCATTTTACAGACATCTTTCAATCCCCTTTTTGCTTTCTTTCTTCGTACTGTATGTCGATGAGTAGTTCTCTGTGAACAGTGAAATCGTCAGGCGAAAATGGAATATTTGAAATTCCTACTAATGAATAAAATTTTATACTGTGCTTACTGGGTGCTTTAAAGGTTTGCTCATGAGTGATTAAATCACAGTTGATGTAGATGACCACCTTCCAATTATATTAACTCCAATTCCCGATTAAATAACTGCGTTGTGATTTAATGCCTGGGCGCCGACTTTGCGACATCACGCAGCCACAACAACGGAATCAAAAAATAAAATTGGAATCAGCGAAATTCATGTTTGTCAAAGGCACCGCATTCTACTCGCTGAGACCTTTCTATGAATAAATATCATGAGGGTTGAGGTAAAGTCGTTGATACAGATGACAATCTGCCAATGGTATAGGTCCAGACTCGTCACCGGAACACTGCGCGCTGACCTGGATCACATCGAGCCTCGCTAATATGGAGCTTTCTCTTGATGTACAGCATGATGGACTAAATCGAACTGATGATAGAGATTCAATGCGGCGATGACAGCGTTGTTGTTCAAGGCAACCATCGGTCTGCACCAAACAACGTGCATCGAACCGTCTCATTCATTGTAATTAAAGTGTGCCTACAGAGGCCCACGATTTTGTTAATTTTGGATGCTGACAGATTTACTAGGGTGCCGGTAAAGGTGAACTGTTACGAGCTGAAAGCGGCGGGTAACAAGCACGCGGTGCTGAGAGGCAGCGATGGTTCTGAGGTACAAAAGAAAGTTGCTGATCATTTGCGGGCGCAGCTGAATATCCGTTGGCTGATGGTAATAGCTCAGTAACGAGCTACGACCTGTAATACCGCATCTAATATATGACTTCAGAGTTTTTATAGAGTGACCCTCCGAACAGCGGAAGTTTGAACGTTTCCAGCATTCTTAACTCGTCACAAGTGGCGACCAAATTCTCGCTTCCTCCGGTTAGCGTAGGTAATTCTTGCACTTGTTTTGAAGTAGGTGGTAGTTGAAGTTTTTTCATCATCTTTAACCGCATGACAGAACTGCAGGATGCTGAGGATTCTTGCTGTCCGCTTAAATTAGTTTTACACGCTGATTTTGGACGAATTTACTTGTAGAAGGAGAAAAGATTCCTCGTCGACAGCAGTTATTCGTTATATTTTCTTCAGCGACATCATGTGCTAATCACCGACTTTTTATCATCCTTGTTGAGTATTTCAGGCTGTCGGTTAACGAGTTAGTGAAGTGTAATTGGTTTCCTGCAAATTCCATTTTCTTTGTTCCCTTACTGCTCATGTACAAACAGTATGTTGCTTCCTAATATCAGATTCGTGTCCAAGTCACGGGATGCTGATAGTGTGGCTAAGCGAAGTACGGTTAAATGAATCGTGTTTAGTCCTTAAGTTCTGCGATGAATTCAGGATTGGTTGGATAGCAGCTGTTAGATATTCATTTAATATTAA